GACGACGACAATTACAGATCAACATTCTAAACTCAGCATTGTCAGCAGTCCGTACAAGACAATACAATAATGATAACTCAAAAAATAAAGATACAGATACAAGTAGACAAATACATCAAAATAAATCAACTTGTGGATCATTACACTCTGTGTCTGGGACACTACCGAAACAAAACCCAGGGTCAGCCAAACCACTGAGGGCAGGCCACCCATACGGTCAAGTAAGAGGAGTAAGATGAGGGGGGAGAGGAGCAGGGGGAAGAAGCAGTCCAGCAGAGAAGGGCAGAAGAACGGAGAGGCAGAAGAGGGGGATGAAAAGGAATACCAGGTCAGCATCAGAAGGGCGGGAGTATCTCAGGCGATGTAGGCGGGAGCAAGGTCTCCCCGCCCGGGCCCAGAGTGAGACCCCTAGCCGCCACCCACTCCCCCCAGATCCAAATTTGCGAACACAGTTTCGGCTCATATATGTTAGTCTGTATATCGGAAGCATCCGGTCAATCGTGCCCAACCATTGTCCCACCGTAGGAGGGGAGGGCAGCTTCCACCTCCAGAATGATTTTCCGACGGGCGTAGAAAGCCACATGGAATATAAGAAGCTTTGTTGCCTTAGGCGCCTGCAGTGTCTCTCCACATCCCAGCAATTTGACCTTTTTTTTAAAAGATATTTTGAACATTGAAAAACACAAACGTGAGGTGACACTTTTTACATTTCAGTAATAAACCAGCCTGGAGACACTTTGTCTACAGGGTCCAGGAAAAGCACTCACTGCTCTGTGGTCCCCTGCTGGGGAAGCACAACTAATCAACATTTGCTTCAATTGACACTCTACAGGTAAGTTTATTTAGATTGTTAATTAACTTGTATACTGTATTCAGTAGAAGAACAGAATTGACTTTCAGAATGTTTTACAAGAATCCAAAAAATATTATATTTTTTTGGCTGCTCCATGACAGTAAGTGCTTACTTAAAGGTGGTAATGACAGCCAGAATATTCGTGCCCAAAGGCTGGGCGTCCACAGCCGCTGCCGGAGTACTCTGTGCCGACCAACATCTCGTTGCATTCGGCCAAGATGGCCGCCTCTGACGAAGCGCGCAAAGGACCCATTGCAGCCCCAGGAGATTTCTTAGATGTATTAGGAGGGAACCAAGGTGTTAGTCAGTTCACACTGCTGGAGAGATCAGAATATTGAAGCCATGCCTGGATAAAAGGATGAAAGTAGTGGAGCTCAGCCAGCACATGTCTGTCCTTGATCATATGCTAGCCATGTCCCTCCTCTAGGAAGATTACAGTTTAAATTATATTTCCAGTGCAGACTATACACAGGGCCTTGACCTTAGTCTGAGTTTTCACAAAGCCAAACCCCTACTTGGAATCAGACATCACACATTGCCAAATTCCACAGCTTTAATGGCCACTGACAGAGCTTGGCTTTAAGAAGGGCTGGTTCTTTGTTCTAACTTGGACAGAAGTCAAGGCTTTGTGTATATTCTGGGTATGCAATCCAATGGGCTTTAAATATTTTGTGCCTGCACTTCATCAGTTTTGTTACCTTTATACTTTTTAGACAATGACGGGTTTGATATAAATAGTTCAACTTTCCCCACATTCTCTGCTAGGAATTTTGTATCTTTAAACAGGAAATATTTATATTTAAATATTCTGTCTTTCCATCTGCAGGAGTTGCCAGCAAACAGTGCCCTTTTGATTTACTTGTCTGCGACTGGTGTCTTCCCCACAGGTCGATCTGACTTTGAAGGTAAGATAAAGGAATGCACCTTGTTATTCACAGTTTTCTCTTTATTCCATGCTTTGCAATAAATACCTCACTGCTTGAGCAACCTGTCCTAAGTGTACAGGACTGCTATCCTGAACAATGCTAGTTGTTGCTTTGTGACCCTGGCTCCTCCTGCAGTGCAGGAGCTTATATGACATTCTTATCCAACCATAGCTACAATTTAACATCCCACTTATTAGATTTCATGAATAGAAACCATGGTTAAAACAGTTAAGTGTGTGGCACATGTGGCAAATCTAGCCATATGTATTTTTTGGGGGGTGGTAAACAAAGCCAGAGACACCATTTCTTCAAATGTATCATTTGATGACAGTGGATGCAGCTGTTATGTGGCTGACATTGCAAGTAAACTCATAAACCTGCTTACATTACCTATTGCTGAAACTGAGAAATGGCTAGGAACCAGTTATTTTGGTTTTCCATTGATGATTGCTAATTTTCATCCACAGTCACCTTCTAAAGCAGCTGATACTACAGTTTGTCTTAGAAATGTGCCTCTCATTTCTGACTATTTTGATGACGCAGAGAAAGAGAAAAACTGTTATGATGATAAAGTGAGCTTGTGGCCAGGCTGTGAACATTCAAGTATTTGCATATTCCAAAGGCCCAATAAAATGGGGGGCCAATTTCAGAGTAGGCACTCTGAGGTTGAGCTTACAGGCCGACAACCACACTCTCTCCCCGACCTGGTAGAAATGAGCAGGTAGAAATGAGCAGGTAGATGCCTACGATCTGCCTGGAGCTTTTGCGGCTGCATAGAGGCATGAAGGGAATTCTGAATCTCCACCCAAGAGGAACGGAGCGCCCGAAAATGATCCTCTTAGCTGGAATGTACTGAGGCGTAAAAGATTCGGGTAACACAGATGGTTGAAACACATAGTTAGCCATGAATGGGGACATTTGGGAGGATGAGTTGATAGCACTGTTCCTAGTGAACTCTGCCCAGGGTAGCAGATCAGCTCAATTGTCATGATGGTCTGAGACATAACAGCGGAGGACTTTAACCAATTTAGTTGCGCTGGAAAAACTATGTGAAAACACCAGCTGCAACAATGTGTATAACCGTAGTTTTTTCGTTTTGGGCCGATGATAAATGGTTTTATGTGAGCTATTTTTTGTATAGCTGTGTATTATAATCAACCAATTGAATGATGAGATCAAACTTTAGAATCTGAATGTATATGTAATCCCTACAGACGTGGGATTGAGCGTTTAATCACAGAATACTGTTTTATTATCACATTTTTATCAACGAAATATTGAACAGAACAAAGACACAGTTTACTAATTATAATAATTTATTTATTATACATATTTTACACTAATTTATGAATATTCACTCATTTATTCATTTATCCATCAATTTTTTATTTTTATTTTTCACTTGAATATAAATAGCAAGATGACACAGTAAGAACATTGCTCACTACCAACATAATTGCTCACATTGATAACAGCGGAGGAGCGCTCCGTGGCACCATTGATGGGGACAATTGGGAGGACGAGTTGATAACACTGTTCCTAGTGAACTCTGCCCAGAGTAGCAGATCAGCCCAATTGTCATAATGATCTGAGACATAGCAGCGGAGGAATTGCTCTAGGGCTTGGTTGGATCTTTCAGAGGCGCCATTGGACTGCGGATGATAGGCTGAGAGGAAGGAGAGTCGAACTCCCAACTGAGTGCAAAAGACCTGCCAGATCTAGCTACAAACTGGCTACCCGATCCGAGATTATCACCTTAGGTATACCATTTAAGCGGAAAAGACCTCCCTGGCAAACACCTGGCAAGCTCCTGAGCCATAGGTAACTTCTTAAAAGGTATGCAATGGCACATTTTGGAAAAACGGCCAACAACCCTTAGGTTATTGGTAGGGATGTCCGATACCCCTTTTTAAAGTACTTCGTTTACAAGTACTTCCCCTCATATACTTGCCGATACCAATTACCGATACTTTTTCTTAAATGGACAGGTGACATTTAAAAAAAAACAATAGACTAATGATTTTAGGCCAATTTGTTTATGATTATGAAGAACTTTAATTTAAGACTGTTTTAGAACAATAAAACATCTAACCTATTCACGTTTTCAACTGCGATCGTGTGGGACCGCCCAGGCGGTATTGCAGCGGGAAACAGCGCAATCTGCCTGGCGCGAATGGAGTACCATTAGAAAATAATGGCACTGCCAGCGCAATCGGCAGTGGTGTGCGATTCCATGACCGCCCAGCCATCTGCTCGGTTTTGTGCACAATGACCGGGCGGTCATGGATTGCACACCACCGCCGATCG